CTTATGTTTTCCTGTTCGATATTTATTCTCCTTCACATTGTTCATGAGGAAGATGATACTGGAAATGTTGTGGGCGGTGTATTTATTTAACGTCATATCTCCCATTGCTCTAAATAGTGCAGAACCAACTGCCCCAAGGGCCCTACGGGGTCAACACTCCCTGGAGCCCTCCCATTTGCCCTAACAGGTGCGGCGCTCGCAGGGGCATTCCCAGGGGCAACAGCGCACCCAGCGGCCCTTCCAGGGGCAGTGGCTTCCCCAAGGGCCCAACTTAGGGGTGCCGGCGCTCCCCGGTGCCCTCTCAGGGGCAACGGCGGCCACAGGTGTCCCTGTCAGGAGCTGAGGTATCCTCAGGGCCTATTCCAGAGGGTCTGGCGTCCGCAGGGTCCTCCTAGGCGCGGCGGCGCCCCGTGGGGCCCTCCCAAGGGCAGCAGGGCCCCTGGGGCTCTCCTTTGGGGTGGAGAAGCTCTCCTGGACCCTCTCAAGGGCAGCGACGCCCCAAGGGGCCCCTGACATGGGATGTGACGTCTCAAGGGGCCCTATTAGGGCGATGGCGCCCCAGGAGTCTTCCAAGGGGCGTGGACGCTCCCAAGGGACCTCCCAGATGCTGAGGCGGTACTAGGAGCCCTCACAAGGGTGACGGCGTCTTTAGGGGCCCTACCACGGGAGGCGGGTCCTCCTTAGGGGTGGCGGAAATCCCAGGGACCCTGCCAGGGGCAGTGGCCCCCCCCAGGGGCCATCCCACGGGTGGGGGCGCCCCCAAAGTCCCACCATTGGCCGGCGAACCTGCAAGGACCCTCCCAGGGGTGGTGATGGCCCCACGAGCCTTCCAGGAGCGAAGGCGCACCCGGGGGCCTTACCAGGGACGGCAGCACCCCCATGGGCCCTCTCTATGGGTGGCAACGTCCCTAGAGGCCCTTTTCAAGGCCGGCGGTGCCTCCAAAGACCCTCCCAAGGGCAGTCGTGACCCCAAGGGCCCTGCCAGGGGCGGCGACGCTCCCAGGAGCCCTGCCTGGGGCGGCATCGCCTGCAAGGGCACTTTCAGGGAAGGTGGAGCCCCAATAGGCCCTGCCAGAGGCTGTAGCACTCCTAAGGCCTCTTTCAGGGGCTGTGGCGCCCCCAGGTCTCTCTCAGGAGCAGCGGCGCCCTCAAGGGCCCTCCCAAAAGCGGCGGATCCCTTAGGGGCCCTACCATTAGCTGTGGCACCCCCACGACGTCTTCCAGGAACTGTGGAGTCCCCCGTGCCCTCCCAAGGGCGGCGGCGCCCCCTGGGGCCCTCCCACGGTTGGTGGGGCTCCCAGGGGCCCTCCCAGAGGCGGCGGCAATCCCAGGGGCCTTATTAGAGGCGGCCCATCGCAGGATCCCTTTTGCTTCCTTGGTTGTGGTGTCGTACATATTGCGTATGAACAGCAATCCCTTACTTAACTGTGATTGGTGGACTAAAATGTAAATCCACCAAATAACAGCCAATAGGAGAACAGAGCAGTCAGTCAGCATAACACCCCAACTTATGTTTTCCTGTTCGATATTTATTCTCCTTCACATTGTTCATGAGGAAGATGATACTGGAAATGTTGTGGGCGGTGTATTTATTTAACGTCATATCTCCCATTGTTCTAAATAGTGCAGAACCAACTGCCCCAGGGGCCCTACGGGGTCAGCGTTCCCTGGAGCCCTCCCATTTGCCCTAACAGGTGCGACGCTCGCAAGGGCATTCCCAGGGGCAACAGAGCACCCAGCGGCCCTTCCACGGGCAGTGGCTTCCCCAAGGGCCCAACTTAGGGTTGCCGGCGCTCCCCGGGCCCCTCTCAGGGGCAACGGCGCCCCCAGGGGTCCCTGTCAGGGGCTGTGGTATCCTCAGGGCCTCTTCCAGAGGCTCTGGCGTCCCCAGGGCCCTCCTAGGGGCGGCGGCGCTCCCTGGGACATTCCCAAGAGCAGCGGGTCGTCTGGGGCTCTCCTTAGGGGTGGATATGCTCTCCTGGACCCTCTCAGGGGCAGCGACGCCCCAAGGGACCCATGACATGGGCTGTGACGTCCCAAGCGGCCCTATTAAGGGCAATGGCGCCCAGGGGTCCTTCCAGGGGCGTGGACGCTCCCAAGGGACCTCCCAGATGCTGAGGTGGTACTAGGAGCCCTCACAAGGGTGGCGGCGTCTTTAGGGGCCCTACCACAGGGAGCGGGTTCTCCTTAGGGGTGGCGGCGTCCCAGGGACCCTGCCGGGGCAGTGGCGCCCCCATGTCCCACCATTGGCCGGCGAACCTGCAAGGACCCTCCCAGGGGTGGTGGTGGCCCCACGAGCCTTCCAGGGGCGACGGCGCACCCGGGGGCCTTACCAGGGACGGCAGCACCCCCATGGGCCCTCTCTATGGGTGGCAACGTCCCTAGAGGCCCTTTTCAAGGCCGGCGGTGCCTCCAAAGACCCTCCCAAGGGCAGTCGTGACCCCAAGGGCCCTGCCATGGCGGCGACGCTCCCAGGAGCCCTGCCTGGGGCGGCATCGCCTGCAAGGGCACTTTCAGGGAAGGTGGAGCCCCAATAGGCCCTGCCAGAGGCTGTAGCACTCCCAAGGCCTCTTCCAGGGGCTGTGGCGCCCCCAGGTCTCTCTCAGGAGCAGCGGCGCCCTCAAGGGCCCTCCCAAAAGCGGCGGATCCCTTAGGGGCCCTACCATTAGCTGTGGCACCCCCCAGGACCTCTTCCACGAACTGTGGAGTCCCCCGTGCCCTCCCAAGGGCGGCGGCGCCCCCTGGGGCCCTCCCACGGTTGGTGGGGCTCCCAGGGGCCCTCCCAGAGGCGGCGGCGATCCCAGGGGCCCTATTAGAGGCGGCCCCTCGCAGGATCCCTTTTGCTTCCTTGGTTGTGGTGTCGTACATATTGCGTACGAACAGCAATCCCTTACTTAACTGTGATTGGTGGACTAAAATGTAAATCCACCAAATAACAGCCAATAGGAAAACAGAGCAGTCAGTCAGCACAACACCCCAACTTATGTTTTCCTGTTCGATATTTATTCTCCTTCACATTGTTCATGAGGAAGATGATACTGGAAATGTTGTGGGCGGTGTCTTTATTTAACGTCATATCTCCCATTGCTCTAAATAGTGCAGAACCAACTGCCCCAAGGGCCCTACGGTGTCAACACTCCCTGGAGCCCTCCCATTTGCCCTAACAGGTGCGGCGCTCGCAGGGGCATTCCCAGGGGCAACAGCGCACCCAGCGGCCCTTCCAGGGGCAGTGGCTTCCCCAAGGGCCCAACTTAGGGGTGCCGGCGCTCCCCGGGGCCCTCTCAGGGGCAACGGCGGCCACAGGTGTCCCTGTCAGGGGCTGTGGTATCCTCAGGGCCTATTCCAGAGGGTCTGGCGTCCGCAGGGTCCTCCTAGGCGCGGCGGCGCCCCGTGGGGCCCTCCCAAGGGCAGCAGGGCCCCTGGGGCTCTCCTTTGGGGTGGAGAAGCTCTCCTGGACCCTCTCAAGGGCAGCGACGCCCCAAGGGGCCCCTGACATGGGCTGTGACGTCTCAAGGGGCCCTATTAGGGCGATGGCGCCCCAGGAGTCTTCCAAGGGGCGTGGACGCTCCCAAGGGACCTCCCAGATGCTGAGGCGGTACTAGGAGCCCTCAAAGGGTGGCGGCGTCTTTAGGGGCCCTACCACGGGAGGCGGGTCCTCCTTAGGGGTGGCGGCAATCCCAGGGACCCTGCCAGGGGCAGTGGCCCCCCCCAGGGGCCATCCCACGGGTGGGGGCGCCCCCAAAGTCCCACCATTGGCCGGCGAACCTGCAAGGACCCTCCCAGGGGTGGTGGTGGCCCCACGAGCCTTCCAGGGGCGACGGCGCACCCGGGGGCCTTACCAGGGACGGCAGCACCCCCATGGGCCCTCTCTATGGGTGGCAACGTCCCTAGAGGCCCTTTTCAAGGCCGGCGGTGCCTCCAAAGGCCCTCCCAAGGGCAGTCGTGACCCCAAGGGCCCTGCCAGGGGCGGCGACGCTCCCAGGAGCCCTGCCTGGGGCGGCATCGCCTGCAAGGGCACTTTCAGGGAAGGTGGAGCCCCTATAGGCCCTGCCAGAGGCTGTAGCACTCCCAAGGCCTCTTCCAGGGGCTGTGGCGCCCCCAGGTCTCTCTCAGGAGCAGCGGCGCCCTCAAGGGCCCTCCCAAAAGCGGCGGATCCCTAAGGGGCCCTACCATTAGCTGTGGCACCCCCAGGACCTCTTCTAGAAACTGTGGAGTCCCCCGTGCCCTCCCAAGGGCGGCGGCGCCCCCTGGGGCCCTCCCACGGTTGGTGGGGCTCCCAGGGGCCCTCCCAGAGGCGGCGGCGTTCCCAGGGGCCCTATTAGAGGCGGCCCCTCGCAGGATCCCTTTTGCTTCCTTGGTTGTGGTGTCGTACATATTGCGTACGAACAGCAATCCCTTACTTAACTGTGATTGGTGGACTAAAATGTAAATCCACCAAATAACAGCCAATAGGAGAACAGAGCAGTCAGTCAGCATAACACCCCAACTTATGTTTTCCTGTTCGATATTTATTCTCCTTCACATTGTTCATGAGGAAGATGATACTGGAAATGTTGTGGGCGGTGTATTTATTTAACGTCATATCTCCCATTGTTCTAAATAGTGCAGAACCAACTGCCCCAGGGGCCCTACGGGGTCAGCGTTCCCTGGAGCCCTCCCATTTGCCCTAACAGGTGCGACGCTCGCAAGGGCATTCCCAGGGGCAACAGAGCACCCAGCGGCCCTTCCACGGGCAGTGGCTTCCCCAAGGGCCCAACTTAGGGTTGCCGGCGCTCCCCGGGCCCCTCTCAGGGGCAACGGCGCCCCCAGGGGTCCCTGTCAGGGGCTGTGGTATCCTCAGGGCCTCTTCCAGAGGCTCTGGCGTCCCCAGGGCCCTCCTATGGGCGGCGGCGCTCCCTGGGACATTCCCAAGAGCAGCAGGTCGTCTGGGGCTCTCCTTAGGGGTGGATATGCTCTCCTCGACTCTCTCAGGGGCAGTGACGCCCCAAGGGACCCATGACATGGGCTGTGACGTCCCAAGCGGCCCTATTAAGGGCAATGGCGCCCAGGGGTCCTTCCAGGGGGATGGACGCTCCCAAGGGACCTCCCAGATGCTGAGGTGGTACTAGGAGCCCTCACAAGGGTGGCGGCGCCTTTAGGAGCCCTACCACAGGAGGCGGGTTCTCCTTAGGGGTGGCGGCGATCCCAGGGTCCCTGCCAGGGGCAGTGGCGCCCCCAATGTCCCACCATTGGCCGGCGAACCTGCAAGGACCCTCCCAGGGGTGGTGGTGGCCCCACGAGCCTTCCAGGGGCGACGGCGCACCCGGGGGCCTTACCAGGGACGGCAGCACCCCCATGGGCCCTCTCTATGGGTGGCAACGTCCCTAGAGGCCCTTTTCAAGGCCGGCGGTGCCTCCAAAGACCCTCCCAAGGGCAGTCGTGACCCCAAGGGCCCTGCCAGGGGCGGCGACGCTCCCAGGAGCCCTGCCTGGGGCGGCATCGCCTGCAAGGGCACTTTCAGGGAAGGTGGAGCTCCAATAGGCCCTGCCAGAGGCTGTAGCACTCCCAAGGCCTCTTCCAGGGGCTGTGGCGCCCCCAGGTCTCTCTCAGGAGCAGCGGCGCCCTCAAGGGCCCTCCCAAAAGCGGCGGATCCCTTAGGGGCCCTACCATTAGCTGTGGCACCCCCAGGACCTCTTCCAGGAACTGTGGAGTCCCCCGTGCCCTCCCAAGGGCGGCGGCGCCCCCTGGGGCCCTCCCACGGTTGGTGGGGCTCCCAGGGGCCCTCCCAGAGGCGGCGGCGATCCCAGGGGCCCTATTAGAGGCGGCCCCTCGCAGGATCCCTTTTGCTTCCTTGGTTGTGGTGTCGTACATATTGCGTACGAACAGCAATCCCTTACTTAACTGTGATTGGTGGACTAAAATGTAAATCCACCAAATAACAGCCAATAGGAGAACAGAGCAGTCAGTCAGCATAACACCCCAACTTATGTTTTCCTGTTCGATATTTATTCTCCTTCACATTGTTCATGAGGAAGATGATACTGGAAATGTTGTGGGCGGTGTATTTATTTAACGTCATATCTCCCATTGTTCTAAATAGTGCAGAACCAACTGCCCCAGGGGCCCTACGGGGTCAGCACTCCCTGGAGCCCTCCCATTTGCCCTAACAGGTGCGGCGCTCGCAGGGGCATTCCCAGGGGCAACAGCGCACCCAGCGGCCCTTCCAGGGGCAGTGGCTTCCCCAAGGGCCCAACTTAGGGGTGCCGGCGCTCCCCGGGGCCCTCTCAGGGGCAACGGCGGCCACAGGTGTCCCTGTCAGGGGCTGTGGTATCCTCAGGGCCTATTCCAGAGGGTCTGGCGTCCGCAGGGTCCTCCTAGGCGCGGCGGCGCCCCGTGGGGCCCTCCCAAGGGCAGCAGGGCCCCTGGGGCTCTCCTTTGGGGTGGAGAAGCTCTCCTGGACCCTCTCAAGGGCAGCGACGCCCCAAGGGGCCCCTGACATGGGCTGTGACGTCTCAAGGGGCCCTATTAGGGCGATGGCGCCCCAGGAGTCTTCCAAGGGGCGTGGACGCTCCCAAGGGACCTCCCAGATGCTGAGGCGGTACTAGGAGCCCTCACAAGGGTGGCGGCGTCTTTAGGAGCCCTACCACGGGAGGCGGGTCCTCCTTAGGGGTGGCGGCAATCCCAGGGACCCTGCCAGGGGCAGTGGCCCCCCCCAGGGGCCATCCCACGGGTGGGGGCGCCCCCAAAGTCCCACCATTGGCCGGCGAACCTGCAAGGACCCTCCCAGGGGTGGTGGTGGCCCCACGAGCCTTCCAGGGGCGACTGCGCACCCAGGGGCCTTACCAGGGACGGCAGCACCCCCATGGGGCCTCTCTATGGGTGGTAACGTCTCTAGAGGCCCTTTTCAAGACCAGCGATGCCTCCAAAGACCCTCCCAAGGGCAGTTGTGACCCCAAGGGCCCTGCCAGGGGCGGCGACGCTCCCAGGAGCCCTGCTAGGGCGGCATCGCCCGCAGGGTCACTTTCGGGGTCGGTTGAGCCCCAAGGGGCCCTGCCTGGGGCTGTAGCACTCCAAGGGCCTCTTCCAGGGGCTGTCGCGCCCCCAGGGGCCCTGCCAGGGGCTGTAGCACTCCCAGGGCCTCTTCCAGGGGCTGTCGCACCCCCAGGGCATTCTCAGGAGCCGTGGCGCCCTCAAGGGCATTCCTAAAACCGGCGGATCCCTTCGGGGCCCTACCAGGAGCTGTGACACCCCCAGGACCTCTTCCAGGGGCTGTGGAGCCCCGAGGGGCCCTCCCATGGTTGGCGGGGCTCCCAGAAGCCCTCCCAGAGGCGGCAGCGATCCCAGGGGCCCTATTAGAGGCGGCCCCTCGCAGGATCCCTTTTGCTTCCTTGGTTGTGGTGTCGTACATATTGCATACTACCGGCAATCCCATACTTAACTCTGATTGGTGGACTAAAATGTAAATCCACCAAATAACAGCCAATAGGAGAACAGAGCAGTCAGTCAGCACAACACCCCAACTTATGTTTTCCTGTTCGATATTTATTCTCCTTCACATTGTTCATGAGGAAGATGATACTGGAAATGTTGTGGGCGGTGTATTTATTTAACGTCATATCTCCCATTGTTCTAAATAGTGCAGAACCAACTGCCCCAGGGGCCCTACGGGGTCAGCGTTCCCTGGAGCCCTCCCATTTGCCCTAACAGGTGCGGCGCTCGCAAGGGCATTCCCAGGGGCAACAGCGCACCCAGCGGCCCTTCCAGGGGCAGTGGCTTCCCCAAGGGCCCAACTTAGGGGTGCCGCCGCTCCCCGGGGCCCTCTCAGGGGCAACGGCGGCCACAGGTGTCCCTGTCAGGGGCTGTGGTATCCTTAGGGCCTCTTCCAGAGGCTCTGGCGTCCCCAGGGCCCCCCTAGGGGCGGCAGCGTCCCCTGGGACCCTCCCAAGGGCAGCGGGGCCCCTGGGGCTCTCCTTAGGGGTGGAGACGCTTTCCTGGACCCTCTCAGGGGCAGCGCTTCCTAGGGTCCTCCCATTTTCCCTACCAGGTGCGTCGCTCCCAGTGGCATTTCCAGGATTGACGGCGCACCTAGTGGCCCTTCCACGGGCAGCAGCACCCCCAGAGGCCCAATGGTGGCGAGACTCCCAGGGGGATTCCCAGGGGCGACAGTACACCCGGTGGCCCTCACAAGGGCAGCGGCGTTCCCTGTAGCCCAACTAAGGGGTGGCGGCGCTCCCCGGGGCCCTGCCAGGGGATGTGGCGCCCCCAGAAGCCATCCCAGGGACCCTCCCAGATGCTGAGGCGTTACTCGGGCTCCTCCCAAGGAAAGCGGCGCCCTCAGAGGCCCTCAGAGGTTTGCGGGGACTCCAGCGCCTGCCAGGGTCAGTGGCGCCCCAGGGTGCCATTCCAAGAACGGCGGCGCCCCCAGGGGCCATCCCACGGGTGGTGGTGCCCCCAACAGCCCACCCAAGGGTGGTGTTGCCCCCAGAGGCCCTCCCAGGTGTGGTGGCTCTTCCAGGGGCCTCACAGGGGCGACGGCGCAACTAGGGGCCCTACCATGGGCGGCAGCACCTCCAAGGGCCCTCTCTATGGGTGGTAACGTCTCTAGGGGCCCTCTCAATGGCGGCGGCTCTCCTAAGAAGGGCCTCCCAGGGGCAACGGTACACGCAATAGCTCCTTCAATGGACTGCAGCACCCTAGGGGTCGTCCCTAGGTGTTGTAGTTAACCTAAGGGCCTTTCCATGGTCGGCTGCGCCCCCAAAGACCTTCCCAGGGGAAGTGGCACCCCCAGACGCCTTTCTATGGCTGACGTTGTCCCTCCCAAGGGCGGAGACGCTTTCAGGGTCCCTCCCAGGCGCTGGGGCTCGGCCAGGGGCCCATCCAAGGGCTGTGGCACCGCCAGGGGCTCTCCCTGTTGCGCAGTCGCCACTAGGGGCCCTCACATGGGCAACGGTGCATCTAAGGGTCCCTCCCAACGGCGGTGGCGTCTCCAGGGGCCTTCCTTATGGGTAGCGGTGACCCCAACGTCTGTGCTCAGGGCGGTTGCACCCCCAGGGGAAAACCCACGGACGGTGGCGGCACCAGCGGCCCTTGTAGGGGCAGCGCCGCCTCCAGGGGACCTCCCAGTGGTGGCAGGGATCCCAGGGACCATCCTAGGGGTCGCGGTGCCCCCAGAGGCCCACCCACTTGCGGCGGCGCCTCCATGGGCCCTCCCTGGGCCGTCGGTGCCCCCAAGAGCTCTCCCAGGAGCGATGGTTTCTCCAGTGGCCCTCCTAGGACGACGGTGCACCCAGGGGCTCTCGCAGGGGCTGCAGCACCTCCGGGGGCCCTCCCTAGGGGTGGTAGTAGCCCTAGAAAACCTCACAGGGGCTGTGGCGACCCAAGAGGCCCTGCCAGGGGCGACGGTGCTTCCATGGGCCTTCTCAAGGGCTTTGGCACCTTCAGGGGCCCTCCCAGAAGCGGCGGTGCCGCCAGGGGTTCTCCGAGGGGTGGTCGCACCCCCAGGGACCTTCACGGGAACGACAACGCTACCAGTGGCTCTCCCAGCAGTGGCATCCCCCTCAGGGGCCCTCTCAAGATCTGCGGCGACCCCAGGGCCCCTCCCAAGGGCGGTAGCGCCCCAAGGGGGCTCCGCCACCGTCGGCGGTGCCCCCAGGGGCTCTCCCAGGGGTGGTGGTTCCCCCAGGGATCCTCGTAGTGGCGGTGGCTCCCCCATGGACCATTCGCAGGGCGGTAGCGCCCCAAGGGTATCTCCCAGTGGTGGCGGCGGCGCCCGCAGGGGTCTTCTCATGAGGGTGGCGTCCCCAAGATGCCCTCCCAGGGGTTGTGGTGCCTTCAAGGACACTCCCAGTGATGATAGTGCCTCGAGAGTCCCTTCTAGGCACGGTAGTGCCCCCAGGGACCTTCCCAGGGTCCGTAACGTCCCCAGGGAATATCCCAGGGACCCTCCCAGGGTCGGTAACGTCCACAGGGAATATCCCAGGGACCCTCACAGGGTTGGCAGCCTCCTCAGGGACTCTCCCAGCAGTTGCAGCACCGCCCAGGGGCCCTTCCAGGGGTGGTGGAGCCCCCAGGAACTCGCCCAAAGCCGATGGGGCCCCCAGGGACCCTCTCAGGGGCGGCTAGGCCCCCAGAATCCCTCCCACAGGCGATGGCGCCTCCAGAGACCCTCCCAGTGACCCTCTCAGGTGCGGCGGGGTCCCGAGAGACCCCCTCATAATCGACGGCCCCCCCAGGGACTTTCCCAGGGAAGGCGGCGACCCCAAGGAACCTCCCAGGGGCTGTGACGCCCCTCTCAAGGGCTTCAGCTACTCCAGGGACCCTTCCATGGAGGTTGGTACACCCAGGGACCTTTCCAGCTGCGGCAGCGCCCCCAAGGGCCCTCCCAATGATGCTGGCGCCTTTGGGGACCTTCCCGGCGGCATTGGTACCACCAGCAACGGTAGCGCATCCAGGTGCTCTCCCAGCGGTAGCGGCGCACCCAGGAGCCATCTCAGGGGCTGCGGCACTCCCAGGGGGCCTCGTTGCGGCGATGGTGCCCGCAGGGACCCTTCCAGAAGCGGCGACGACCCCAGGGATCCTCCCAGGAGCGACGGCACCCCCAGAGACCCACCTGGGAGGGCCCCTAGGGGTGATGCGGCCGCTGCGAGGGCTCCTAGGGGCACCGTCGCCCCTGAGGGCACCGTCGCCCCTGAGGGCACCGTCGCCCCTGGGAGCCCCCCCGTCACCCATGGGATGCCCCCTGTGGGCGGCGCCGTCCCTGGGGGCGCCATAGCCCCTGTGAGGGTCTCTGGGAGCGAAGAACCTGTAGGGCCACTGGATTCAGTAGTTTTTTGCTCTATTTAGAACTCTGTGAAATCTAAGTACACCGCTCATCACATTTCCGGTATCATCGCATCCTGAGAAAGGTAACGGAGAATAATATCCAACAGGAAAACATAAGTTGTGGCATTGCGATGACTGGCTACTCTCTTCTCCTACTGGCTGTAATTTGGTGGGTTAAAATAATAGTCCACCAATCAGTTTAGTTTGGGACTGCCCTGGGTGGGTCCCTGGGGTCGCCGCTTTTATGAGGGTCCCTGGAAGGATCCCTGGGGGTGCCGCCGCCCCTGGAAAGGTCACTGGTGGCGCCTCCACCCCTGGGGGGGTCACTGGTGGCACCGCCGCCCCTGGGAGGTTTCCCAGGGGTACCGCCATCCCTGAGAGAGTCCCAGGGGGCGCCGCCACCCCTGGAAAGGTCACTTGTGGCGCCTCCGCCCCTGAAGGGGTCACTGGTGGCACCGCCGCCCCTGGGAGGGTCGCTGGGAGCGCCACCAACCCTGGGAGGGTCCCTGGGAGCGCCACGAACCCTGGAAGGGTCCCTGGAGGTGCCGCGTGTGAGGTGGAGGCGTGCAAGGGAGGAGTGTGAGGAGGGAGGTATGTGAGAGGAGGCGTGCCAGGGGGGCGTGTGAGAGTGAGAGGGAGGCGTGTGAAGGAACCGTGAGTGATGGAACAGGAAGAACACAAGACCGTATATAAACGTGACCAACCACGCCCTCACCTCACAAATACCTCAGTCCTCCCTGCACTTTTTTTTTATTTTTTTACATTTTCTTTTTTTTTACTTCCTATTTCTTTCACGGTTCCTCTTCATTCTTTTTTAGTGACTATATTTTTATCTATTATTCTTATCATCATTATTCAACTTCTTCTAAACTTTATATTGTCTTTTTAATTTGTTTCTTCTTTTGTTTATCTGTTATTTTTCTAGTCTAATTTATTACTTGTAATTTTTTAAGTACGTTCAATATTTATCTCTGAAACTAACCTGAACATTAAAACAAACAAACAAATAACTACATCTCTCTCTCTCTCTCTCTCTCTCTCTCTCTCTCAAAGAGTGATTTCGTGACTGTTCGTGTGGGCCGATATACACGTTCATACACACGGACGTAGACTTACACACAAATATACACATATATACACATACGCACAGAGATACGATTATTAAAATGCACAAACACACACACACACACACACACACACACACACACACACACACACACACACACACACACACACACACACACACACACACACACACACACACACACACACACACACACACACACACACACACACACACACACACTACATCCTTGACCACCGAAGGGTCAAGACGTACCTGGCGCTCCTCTCGGAGCAGCCAGGTCAACTGTTATGTTGGCCCATACCAACTCCCTCCCCTGAACCCTCCTCCCCACCGGAATATCAACAAGTTCACGCCAGAAGTTACTATTTCATTTAGGAAAGAAATGGAACCAGTGTTAAACAGAGGTGAACAGTGGTGAACAGTGCTTAAGTCAGTGAGAACAACTCAACAGTAACAGTGGTACCCAAGTTGACCTTTCACACAGTGAGGTCCCAGGTACCCAGTGATAACGGCCCGTGAGACCCAACTACCAGCGATGTGTTAATCCGTCTACGATAGGAAGGCCTGGAACCACACCTCACTCATATAACACCATCTGTGAGGGAATTACTACACCATGTGAGGCCCCTCATAACACCATATGTGAAGGAGTTACTACACCACGTGAGGCCCCTCATAACACCATCTGTGAGGGAATTACTACACCACGTGAGGCCCCTCATAACACCATCTGTGAGGGAATTACTACACCACGTGAGGCCCCTCATAACACCATCTGTGAGGGAATTACTACACCACGTGAGGCCCCTCATAACACCATCTGTGAGGGAATTACTACACCACGTGAGGCCCCTCATAACACCATCTGTGAGGGAATTGCTACACCACGTGGGGCCCCTCATAACACCATCTGTGAGGGAATTACTACACCACGTGAGGCCCCTCATAACACCATCTGTGAGGGATTAACACCACTACACCACGTGAGGCCCTCATAACACCATCTGTGAGGGAATTACTACACCACGTGAGGCCCCTCATAACACCATCTGTGAGGGAACTACTACACCACGTGAGGTCCCTCCTAACACCATCTGGGAGGGAGTTACTACACTACGTTTTTGCTGTTCAACACCTACATTAATCTGTATGTTCACTGTATGTTCCTTTACCTTTCTCTAATGAAGGCTTTTGTTAAACCACCAATGTATGTAATAAGTCATTTATGCCCAATGTATATTTTCAGCCTTCGGGCTGCAGAACTTTTTCAATAAACCGTTAATTATTATTATTATTATTATTATTACACACACACACACACATCACTTTCCCCCACACAAAACACACAATGTAGCCCGGCAAATAACGCACATATCATTACATAACATTACGCTTTCATGCTGAGTACAGGAGGCACGGAGGTCACGGAGGCCACGGAATTAGTACCGTCAGGAGGCCACGGAATTGTCCGGTCACGGGGCCACCGAGTTATCCGGTCAAGAGAACGGATATCCGGCCATCAGGAACGGATTAGGCAACGGTGTGGGAGCGAATGATGAGGAGAGGGTGTGGGAGGGGGAGTGGGAGGGAGGAGGAGGTGGGAGGGAAGGGGAGGAGGAAGGGAGTTGGAAGGGAGGGAGGGAGGGAGTGGGAGGGAGGGAGGGGAGGGAGGGAGGTGGGAAGGAGGGAGGGAGTGGGAAGGAGGGGAGGGAGAGGGAGTGGGAGGGAGGGAGTGGGAGGGATGGGGAGGAGGAGGGGAGTGGGAGAGGGAAGGGGAGGAGGAAGGGGAAAGAGGGAAGGGGAGAGAGGTTGGGGAGGCTAGTGTTGCGATAATGCCTCGGCCTCTCCCTTCCTATCTTCTCCCTCCTTATCTCCCCCTCTCCCTCACCCCTACCATGCTCCTTTCTCCCTCTCCTACCCCCTCCCACCTCCTCAGTTGCTCCCCCCCTTCACCATTCACCCCCCTCATCCTCACCCTCCCTCCCCCCTTGTCACGTTCCTTGTTGCTGTGACCTGAGGTTATAGCACAGAAAGGGAGGGGAGGGAGGGGGAGGGGAGGGAGGGGGGGAGGGAGGGAGGTTACACCCAACACTTACCTCCAAGAGTCTCCCCAGCAGACAGTGTTGAAATAACTAAATTGTGGACACACACACACACACACACACACTGTGACACCACCCCACACCACACGGTGTCCCCATGACCACGTGAGGTCCTTCAAATCAACACCTACAGACGAGTTACTGAACCATGAGGCCTATGTGACCTCACACAGCATGGCAAGAGACCAGCCCGGACCATCAACTGTAAACTATAATAATTTGTATGTTCAATTCATGTTCCTTCTCCTTTCAGTAGTGAAAGCTTTTGTTAAGCGACCCACCCACCCCATGTCTTTGTATGTAATAAGTTATTTTTTTCTAATGTATATTTTCAGCCTTCGGGCTGCAGAACTTTTTCAATAAACCGTTAATTATTATTATTATTATTATTATTATTATTATTATTATTATTATTATTATTATTACACACACACACACACACACACACACACACACACACACACACACACACACACTGTGACACCGTTCTTCGTCTTGCTTTTCATCTTGAATATTAGTTTTAGTATTATGAATTTCCTTGATGTATGTATGTATGTATGTATGTATGTATGTATGTATGTATGTATTGCTAGTCAGTAGTCAATTCTACATAAAAAAATCTCTATCTATCACTCTAAACTTACACACCTGATTAATTATCTATCAATCAACTCCTACACACCTGGGCATCTATCTATCACACATACCTACATACCTTAGGAACTATTAATTAATCCTAAATACCTATACCTTGTAAAGCTCGTATGTCTCTAAGTTACAACACCTTCTAAAAGCCAACATCCTAAACAGCCAGCACCTTGAAGTACCTGTCTCTAGATATACACAGGCACAGTATTCCTCAGACCTCACCTGGATCAGTTACGGGAGAAACCCTCACACATTCTGAAATTCCTCTTCTCACTTATTGGCCCCATGGAAACTTAAGACGTGACCGTATCTCCGTTATCTCCCTCACTTCTCTACCTACCTCCCTCTCTACCTACCTCCCTTCCCTACCCACACACACCCAATCATCACACTAACCGCGGCCTCAGGAAACTATCGCCTCTAACTATAAACCTGGAGTAAAAAAAAATAAAAAATAGAAGCAGAACAACAATTACGCTGGCAATCATTTGGGTTATTTTAGCGAGATATAAATTCTGATAGGGTTCACCTCCTTTGATCTTAAGAGCGGAACGTTTTTGGTGTGTTTATTGTTTGGAAATCTTTGGAGGCTTGTTGGGAGATTGTTATGACGATCAGGGGTGGGGGGGGGAGGGGTGTGGTTACCGACGGGTGTGGGTGATTTGTGTGGTGGTGGGGAGGTGGAGGGTTGGAGAAAGGGGGAGGGTAAGGGGAGGGGGGTGATAAACGGATCAGAGAAGAGAGTAAGTTGGGGAAAGTAATTGGAGTGGGTTAGAGAGGGGATGAGAGGTGTTGCGAAGGAAGGAGATGGGAGGAAAGGAAGGAAGGAAGGAAGTAAAAGGGAAAGGAGAAGGAGAGGATGAATAGGTAAGAAAAGACAGAATAGGAGGAAGAGTTTTACAGGATGTCTCAGAAAAATTTTTGAAAACTTCGTGAGGACAATGTTACGAAAATATTTAACCAAGTGTGTGTACATTTTGCTAAGACACACTCCACGTATTACACAAATCATCTGGAAGAACACCCCCTCCCTCCCATCCCATTACCTCCAGGGCTCATAATATCCTCATCCTAGATACACCCTACTCCTCTATCCTCCATCTGTCCAATCCTTCAATTCCCTCAACTAGGGAGCTTTCTACTGTCTAACCCTGTCTCTCTAGTACTCAGGGGTACCATAGGGATCAGGTAGAATAAATACTCCTCTGTTTTCGTTTAGTTCCATCCTAATTCCATCCTTGAGTTTTATTTCTCCTTTCCCTCGTTTAGGATATCACCTTCTCACCAATCCTTCATTTACGTAGAATACTCCTTTCCTATCCATCCTCCATCCTCCACTATTCCCTCATTTCTCAAGTCAAGGATTCTATCAGCCATCCTTAATTATCCTTCACCTCCTTCATTCTAATTCATTGCAGTTCATCCTTATCTTCTGCTATCTTTCATCTCCCTCTTCTAGGACCCTCAGAATCCATACCCCATTCATCCTCCATCTATCCTTCATCTATCCTTCATCCATCATCCATCTATCCTCTATCTAGCCTTCATCCATCTATCCTCTATCTAGCCTTCATCCATTCTCCATTAATCCCCCCACACTCATTCTCCACCTATCCTCCACCTATCCTGAACAGCACGATCACGCCGAGTCACTCATCCTCCTCTTGCCTCATCCTCCTCTCATCCT